AAAACAATTTTACCAGTAGAAGTAGTACTTATGTAGATACTTGCGTATTGTCTAAAATTGGATATAATTACATTATATTAAGTGATACATGCATAATCATGTTTATGGCAGCACAATGCATGATAGCTAAAAGTCTTAGAAGCAGCCTATGTGTCCATCAAGAGATGAACAAAGGTATTTGTACACAGTGAAATGCTATTCTGCAATACAGCAGAACATATTTGATCCATTTGTAGAAAAATATTTGCTCCTTGAGACCATAATGTTCAGTGAAATGGATCAGAAATTTGAACTTGTATGGTATGGTGTCTCTTAGATGAGGAAACCCAAAGATAGACACCAGAAAATGGGGATCATAGATCTTTTCTTCTTCTTCTTCTTTTTTTTTTTTTTTTTAATTTTATGTATTTGGTACAGGTTCTCACCACGCAGCTTGGACTCATAGTGATCCTCCTGTTTTCAGCCTGCCCAGCACTGGGATTACAGGCAGTACACCACCATGCCCAGACTCAGGCACTGGTTCAGTGTGCCTGAGGGTGGAGCCAGTGCAGCTCGTGATACCAGGGATCGAACCCTGCTCCCTGTGCTTGCCTAAGCAGGCACTTAGTGCACTGAGCTATCTCATCAGCCCTTGGGATATAGATCTTTTGCAAAGGGGAATGTGGCCCAGAGATGGCACAAGGAAGGGAAAAGGGTCATAAAAAGAATTAATATGTATAATGTACCTGTATCAACTCCCCATAAAAAATGAATTCATTGTGTACTGCAAACACTACTAAAGATAACAAAAGATTGAATTAAGCATATTTGACTTTCTTTTACTGAGGTAATTTTAGGAATAAAGCATACTGCATAGTACAATAGTTTAGAAGAGTAAATAATCAAGGACAACATAATCTGCCGCTTTAGAACACATAACGATTCTCAGATAGTGAAAACCTTTGTGTTTATAGCATTTTTTTTTCTAGCCATGACCATTTAATTCAGATCACAAAACTTGAGATGCACACCTAACACATAACCTTCTTATATGCACTGATTTTAAATACTGGTAGCTTTTTAGGAATGAAGAGATCTGTGTTGCTGAGCACCCGCTCTTTAATGCAAAGACTTATGTTTACTTTTTCAAATGGTTCAATCTCACTAATGTATAAGCCCTTAGCAGACCCCTAATAAAAGACCAATTTGTAAAACTGGGCCATTGTAATGTTTTTACAATTTGATACATAGCTTTCTTGATGAATGTAGTCATGACAGCTGTTCAGCAGTATTCAAGTTATGGTTTTCCTGATTGGTCTATAGTCTTCAATAAGTGAAAGAAGTTACTGTATGAAACATCTGTCAAACTAGTAAGACTGTACTGACGCATCCATCTTTTTCAGGATCGTTGGTCATCTGGGTATATTTACCCCAGATAACCTTGCCTCCTTGCTTCACAAGGCCCAACTCACCCATGTTCACTTCAATCACTATTCCTTTGGTAATCACACCCAAAGTTGTATACAGTGGTGATGAAGGATTCTTTTTCACACCAAGTATTGGCAGGCAACAGGTGGCTTTCAGTTCAGGATGTGTTACATGAGCCTTCTTAAAAAAAATGTAAGCTCATTGGCCTAACGAATCTTTTATATTTAGGTGGTTTTCTTGTAAAGCCATCTCCAACAAAGCAGACTTTAGTACCATCCTCTTCCATGGCTTCTTTTTTCTCTTTCCAGTTTGAATAACTTTTAATACTTCTGTTTCTCCTTGGGCATGAACTTTGGACAAAGAAACTTCCCATTTTACCACCTTTTCATTTCTGTTTAATCATGTTGAAAAGTGCTTTTGCACAGACTGTCCCTCTCTGTGCAGCAGGTAGGCAGGTTCTGCTCCTTGTGGAGTCTTTTCATCATGCTTTTGTTTGGTGTTTCTCTTTTCATGCATCTTGATAGTCTTCTTCATTTGTATTTTCTCCACATGGTGCTGTTTGTGGTAGAGCTTAGCCTTTAGGCCAATCTTTTTTTTTTTTTTTTTTTGCCTTCTTTGAAGGTTCATGAGCCTCTTGACTTTCCTTTTTTCTCTTTTTTTTCTTTCTCTTTTTCTCATGGTAATCCAAGAGGTACCCATGGCGTTTATGATGTAATTCAATATATTCATTCTGTGGCATGATGACACCTGCAGAGTCACTGCTGGCGGTGGCCTCAGGTGTGCAAAGAAAAGTCCTAATGTTGGAGTGTCCCAGACTAAGGAGCTGCTGTTTATAGCATTTAGATGGTAATCTTGGTGCTGCCCCCAGGCACACAAGCTTCCTGTTAATCAGATGCTGTTTCTTAAAGTAAAAACAAACTTTGCTCAAAAGTCTCTGACTTCTCAATTAAGAGAGACTTCTCTTCCAGGAGGAAAGCTTGATGTGATCTTTTTAGACACACCTTCAGTCATAGCCCATCTGAACAATTTCTCTTCTCTTAAAGGTGGTG